TGAATTCTAGAGCACTTCCAGGGCTTTTTCTGCCAAACCAGAGTTGCCTGTCACAGTTTTTCTTCCGAGAGAAAATCTCTTGATATTATCTATCCAGAGATTACCTCCGTGAGGTACTATAGTTAATCATAACTTATCACACCAGTCTGATATATATGAATGGTAATAAAATGAATTTTTTTAAATGGTAATAAAATGGATCTATTTGCAATACTTCTTGGATAGTATTTCTTTTTCTTAATGTCCGATAAGAAAAAGTCTGCCAATGGACCGTGTGTGATATTTTCATTAAAGAATTCTTTGCTGAAGATAACATTAAATTTTGCTTTTTCACATTTTTCTGGTTTTCTAACTTAAAATATAGGATGCACTAATTAATTAGCATTTCTGAGGTCATTCCCCCCGAATCATTAAGATTGAGTCCTAGAACGTGATGATTCGATCATTAGATCAAAAGTTATTCAGAGTGGTCCGTTTATTTATTAATTTTTTGTGTGTCAGTGCTTAAGGCACTGAACTGTTCATGTGAAAGATTGAGGTTCGAACCAAAGTGGAGGCTTGAATCCCATTCAGTTTCAGATCAATGGGTCCCAACTTGTCAGAATTGTTGAATTATGCCGTTGGTCTCAAAATTGTGGAGCCCTAACCCACATGTCCTTGCCTTACCAATAAACGAACTGCTGTATCAATGCTTTGCTAATTTATTTATTCATTTATTTTTTTGCTATTGGAGAAGCAGAATTTTTATTTACGATGTTTCTTCATGGTTTAAATTATTACTCTATAATTTAAAATGTATAAAAAAGTTTTCTCCAAATGCAATACTTTTATTATTTTTTCACTCAGTATGTATCATTTTCAATAATCAATTAGGCCTAACTAACTTCTAAAAATTTTAATTCTAAAAATTTGGTTAATAATAACATTGTTTATGAGTTTAAAATGTGTCTAAAAGGTCTTAAAATTAAAGGTTAAAATTTGTCACATTTGTCTTAAAAGTTGTCTCTAAATATTGTTTATGAGGTTAAAATTTTGTGATACTGAACTTGCCGTATTTATTCACATTCAAATTACATTGACTTAAAATCAAGATGATTAGTAATAGAGAATTTTCAAAGCTTTCAGCGTTAAACAATAATTCAAGGCTTCATTGAATTTAATTAGAGTTGTAATGTTCTAATTTCTCGGAGTTTTCTATAAACTGTTTATAATTTCTTTTTTTAATACTCTTCTCAGATTTTGAATCACTTATAATATTTCAGGTTTCACTAAAATAATTAAAGTTATTTTTCTTAGTATATAAAATAAATATCAAATTATTTTAATTACTATTTTTGCAGTTAAATCACATTTCGAAATAAAATCAAATAATATTAGTTTTTCACTTAATGAATTAAGCTTTAAAAGCTGAATTCACCATAATATCACGTAGTATTTAATTAAATTTTTTTATTGTTTCACAATTTGAACACGTATAGCTATAGTCAACTATTTATTTAAAAAAAAGAAGATATTTTTACCCAGACGGTTTCAAAATTACATTTATCTATTATATTTTGGAGTTTAGTCATCGGTCGAAACAAAATCTAACTAGACATGTTTTCAATTAATGAATTAAACTTTAAATGCCATAAGAATAAATAATATTTGCACTATAATTTCACACAATATTTAATTGCATTTGTTATTTCTTTTTAAAATTGTTTGTTCACTCAAAATAAATGCTATGTTACATACAATTGAAATGTCTTTGAACAATCATAGTTATATGCAGGTATTAATTTTATTAAAAAAAATTATTTCATTTGGTCAGTTTTAAAACAATATTCGCTGATCACGATTGGAAGAAGAACAGTATAGGTCCATGGAAGTTGATTCTGAGAAAAAACGAATTTTAAGACGGACCGTTCCTCCATAGTCCTTCTTCACTTTGTAATAACTCTCGGGGAGAACCGATTTTCTACACTAATTTATCAAAACTTAGTTATGCTCAAAATGCAACAGATGATGTTCCAATCGTCAGTTTTGAGAAAAATGGATAAAATCCATTGTTCCCTTTTGATCTTTTCATATTTTAATATCACTTGCCGTTATTAAAAATTTTTCATAAAGAGAACTTGTGCCTGGTTTTCTATGCAATCTAATTTCGTAAAGAATATTTATAAACTTTATTTTTTAGGGATTGAATATATTGCAAACGAAAATATCAACTGCTCAGTTTTCTGCGAATTATTTTATAAAGTGGTATAAAATTAAAAGCAAAAAGTTTAAGAATTTTGTTTAATTTTGGATACTTTTTTAAATTATCACGGGGTAACTAAATTATTATTTTTCAACTGGGAACCTGAGGCCGTATATGACATGCGATATGACTAGAACAATGTTTCATTTGTCTTATACATTATTTGAATTGTTTTTATGCAGTTGCTAAGAGAAACCACTTAAAATTACATTAATTAAATTAAGAATTAAACATTAAAAAAGTGTTATCTCAAGTAAACATTTCCATTCAGCATTATTGTGTTAAATACGGACTTAGCTTTGTTTTTTATCAAAATTTTTTTGTTAAATACAGACCTAGCTTCTTCTTCTTCTTTTTTTTTTTTATCAAAAATGCTGTGTTAAATACAGACCTAGCTTTTTTTTTTTTTTTTAATCAAAAATGTTGTGTTAAATACAGACCTAGCTTTTTTTTTTAAATCAAAAATGTTGTGTTAAATACAGACCTAGCTTTTTTTTTTTTTATCAAAAATGTTGTGTTTAATACAGACCTAGCTTTTTTTTTTATCAAAAATGTTTTTCTTAGCGGTAGAGAAATAACATATTTAAGCATAAAATTTAGAAAATTTGCTAATTTATCTACTGGACATTGGATCTTGTCTTGTCTCTCAGTACCAGCCCGAAGGCTCTTGCTGATTCACCTGATATGGTAACAATAAAAATGCATAAGGCAGCATTAAAAAAACACATAAAATTTAAACTTAAATGGCTTATAATCATGATTCGTTTTTTTAATGTTTAAACTAATTGGGTATAATATAGCCTACGTCACAGGTTGTGTTGTTCCTACTAAATTTAACCCATGAACGGCATTTTCTGCGAGCCTAACTTCAAGCCACAAATAAACAAACGAAGTGTTCGATCGTTTAAATAGCTGCTCGCCNTTTGGTGAGAATGCTCTCTCTTGTCAAAAAATACAAAATAAACTGACCTCAAATGAAACTCAAAGGACTTCGAATCAAATAATTAAGGAAACTACTATCACGTTTAATATAAAAGGAAGATTTATTAACTAAACAATAAAATTATAGCATAGCAGTTCCAAGAAACAAATCTCACACTCATTCAAAAAAACAATTTACATTCTAATTAATCACCACAGCAACCACAAAACTCTTCTCGTTACCATCCATAAACTCATATATAATAAATAAATTATTTAACAAAAAATACGATGCTCATAAGCACATAATATTTTACACTTTAGTTATTTCAGTTTCCGTTTTTAACAGTGCTATATGTTGAGCCATCTCATCCAGATTTAGCGGCTCTCATCTGACATTTTTAGCGGCAATCATTGGTCGATTTTCTAGCGTTGCCATTCGGGGAGTTGTATTGAGGCTTTTTTTGTCGCCGTGTAAGAGAAATATATATATAGATTATCTCAAGTAAACATTTCCATTCAGCATTATTGTGTTAAATACAGAGCTGGCTTTTTTTTTAATCAAAAATGTTTTTCTTAGTGGTAGAGAAATAACATATTTGAGCATAACATTTAGAAACTTTGCTAATTCATCTACTGGACATTGGATCTTGTCTTGTCTCTCAGCATAAAAGTTGAAAGGTTGCCTTTTTACGTAGTAGTAAAATTATTTTTAATTTTTTTTTAAATTATGCATTTCTAGAAAAAATAACTTTTAAAATTACGGAAATTCTGTAGAAGTTGATGAATTAGCTAAAATGCTAAAAAATGTCCTTAAATTTACTAAAGCCATATTTCTTCAATTTTGAAGATTCTTTCTTTTGATTCAAAAATTTGACCTTAAGAGAGTAAAGTAAATTGAAGACAATATTATAGTTTTGTCAATGAGTGTCTTGTCAATCTGTGTACGTGCACAGACAACAACATTGTAAATGTGTACATAAGCAGAAATTAAAAGAGTAAACCTATGCATACACAAACAATAACTGTGTAAAAGTGTTCATACACAAACAATAGTTTTGAATAATTGTACTAAAAAAAATTATATCAAGTGTTAATTCCCATTTACGTATGGTAAAAGTCTAGAGATACAGTTTTGCTGCGGACTGAGGTTAAATACTTTCTAGTGGTAGATTTAACGTATGATTCTTGGTTTAGGAAATTCGATTGGGGGTATTTACTCACCACTATTTCTAAAAAACTCAAAAACTTATGAGAAACTCCACTGTATTGCAATTAAGGCTTGTTCAGTTATTTCAAGGATTTCACAGGTGGTTCAAAATGAAAGAAGTGGTAGAAATTAAATTCACATTCTACATATTTAATCTACCAAGCAATTCACTCGTAACTACCACTATGATCTACATTAATTATTCCCATTTGAAATGAAAACATTTTCTACATTTAGTACAATAGTAAACTGAAAAAACACATTGCTGGAAAAAGTTGCTAGCGTTATTAACTTTAATAGATTTTCCTCAATTTATTAATCGCCACTTTTTAGAATTTTAGTCACATGTGGTACCCCTGCCTTTTAAAAAGTTGACAGAATTAACCGAAGATCTGCAAGTTTTAGTTTGTAGTACTCAACCGTTTTCTTAAAATGTTTTGTAGAATCCGAGCAGTTGCTGTGTCTGTTAGTTTATATAAAAACACGCATTAGTAGAAATAGATAAGGGGTATTAAGAAAAGTCATAGCAAAATAAGTTATAAAAACATGTATGTACAAAAAAAAGAAAGAAGCTTTTTTATTTTTCTTTAATAATAAATAAGAATATAATTAAAGTTTTTAACATACCATGTTTTGGCTTTATCCGTATTTAAAAAAATCCAAGTGGAATATTTTGTATAGTAAACAATACGGGGTTGAGTGAAAGTAATCACCGATGATTAGTCAAATAAGTAATTGGCTGTGACTTCCTTTTGTCATCTGGCAGAGAGCAACAGGTGAAGGCTTGTTCTACCTTCACAGGTAAGAAGAACAAGTGAAGTGAAGGATACCTTTCCTCATTTTTTCTGGTTGGTTCGACTTCAGTGATTCTTTTCTTTTAAGTTATTCTTTCATTTCGCCAATTTAAGTCGCCAAATATGAATTTGCATTTGACAGCACCAGCGGTTCCCAACTGTTGTTTATGGAAAGGTCACAGGGGTTAGGTTCGAGAGTTAGGACAACACTACCAGTTACGAAATCCTAAAATAAAATTTATATCCAATTAATTTACCATTTGTTATCTAATATTAATCTGATAATTATTCTCAAAGTTTGTTTTCGTCCTTTTTCATTTTTATTTTAACGAGATCCTCATCTCAACTGATTCCTTTTCAGTTTTTGCATGCAATAAAATCAAATTATAAACTAGACTAGATGCTATTTTTGGCCAGTAAATCACCTGTCTTTCATAAAACTCAGTTTCAAGACTATTGTAGTTAAAACTACACAATGAAAAAATTTCATGCTTTTTAATATTTTCAAAGCAATTAATAAAATTTTAATATATTAAATAATTTCAAAATAAATATTGGCTTAATAATATTTTTCACATTTGCTAATGATATATTTCGAAGTCTCTGGGTTTCGTTAATAGAAATTTGATCCTTTAGTGGTTCGTAGGCAAAATAAATTGGATATATAATATTGTTAAATTAAACACCGCTGGTCTTATTGTAATCTGTTAATTTTTCCCTAAAAATTTATACATTCACACTCTATTTTTATTCGCATAAGTGTGATTTGCATGATTTTGACTACCATTATATTTAAATAATTTAAACATATATAAGTTGACTTTCTGAAGATGTGTATAAGAAAATCACATACCTGCTAACTTTTAATCCTTTAGCAGATGATTTCCCTCAGTGGTAATAAAATTGAATTTGAATTACAATTTTAGGCAGAAACATACGCTATATTTTGAAAAAGACTTATGCGGATTGTAACTTCTTTATTACATATTAATATATGTGCTTAATTTTTTTAAAACTTGTGGTGGTCAAAAAGATGATAAATTAAGTTTATAAATGCAAGGAATATATATAAAGCATACATTTTACTACCACTTTAAATATAGAAATAAAATTTTTACGCCAAGTGCGTAAAAGTTGGCAGTTATGAAATCTTCCCATGCCTGGCATTTAACGTCTTCCGAAAATGAGCTTTTAAATGGTGGTAAATTAAAACAATTACCGATTAACAATCTCATTCAAAAAGTTATTTATATTTAGACCAGATTGAAATTCGCTGTCGTAAAATCTATTGTGCTTTTATATATTTGTTTCAATTATTTATACGTAGTGGCTATCTATATCATTTATAATGATTATCATGATTCAAAAAGTTTAATGGAATAACACGAGTACCGTTACCTCTTTAAATACGAACATGAAATCTTTCGAAAACACCGGAAGAGTTAGCATCGATGTAATCATTAAGAATACTTCTCTGACAATCATTAACGTTTATCAGACATTAAGAATACTTCTTTTGCTCTATTTACATTTCCACTATTCGCATCGAATCATCACATCGATCATGATCAGTATGAATAAGTAAAGAGCCTCAAGCGGCCTCATGCACCAGGTATTTTTTTTTTTTCAGTTTTGAAATTGTGCTTTAATTATGACTAAAATTTTAATAAAACAGCAGCTTGTAAACTCATTTGAAATGGTAATTCTCTACCACTTTTCCACTTCTGAGAAAAAAAAAAACTTTTTATACAAATTACCTTTTAAACGCTTCTGTTCAACTTTTGGAATATATCCCTTTTAAAAATGATAAAGAAAACTGATTTATTTATTTCATTCTTAGCATTGAAAGTGCAGGGATAGTAATTTGCATAAACAAAGACTTATTAATTATTTCTTAAATTTTTTTCCAAAATCAATTTGTTGTTACATTTTTAAGCGAAATTGGTAGTTAAATAAAATAAAAATTTATTTATTTTAATTAAAAATGCATCACCATTTTCTTTCATAGAATCGTTTTTCTCATTATTAATCCATTTCATTTATTTGCTCCTTATATCTGCAATAATTCTCCAATAATCACAGTTTGCAGATTAAAATTCATAAAAAAAGCAGATTAAATAAGCAGAATAAACAAACTAGCTATAGCTACAACTTAACCTTTTTTTTCTTGGCTTATCATTAACATTTATCTGAGCTCCTAAGGACGATGACGGTTTTTTCTCCAATTCATTATGAAAATTTTGATTTTAAGGTGGTACTTTCTAAAAACTGCAATTCAAAATGGAACGATAAGAAGAAATAAATATTCGTATTCTATATAAGGATTCTCTACTAAAATAAGTAACTATTGGCATGAACTTTGAGTCTTCAAATGTAATCAAATGTAAAAACTTCGTTACCCCAACAATGCCCAACGACAAAAAGTTGTCTATCAATAAAAAACTATCAGAAAAAAGTGTTAGTGGGTATTTCCTACTATTACGTATCACTTTAGCTTAAGAAGGGCACCATGCTCTGACTGCAGATCCAAATATAAATATTTATTCAATATATTATGGTGGACTAGTCTCTGGAAAATAAATCCTAAAAACAAGAAACTTGTGCTATCATTTTTTCTTCTTGTTTGATAAAAGGAGCCGTCTTTTTAAAAGGACGCTAGACACAAATAGGTTAAATACTACAGCATCACGATTTGAGGCGTTTTCAAGCAATTTGTAATTAAGCTAGGTAATATGATGATCCAATTTAAATAATCAATGTTGCGATCTTTTCTTTTCTTTTTTCGGAGAATTTCATTCTGGTAATTTTTTGAGTTTCTACAGTAGTGATGGGGAGATGCATGAGACGAAGACTTCCAATAAAAATTTAAAAAAAAAAAAAAAAAAAAAAAAAACGATAATTCAAACTATCACACAAATTAAAGCTAACAAAATACTCAATTTTCACTTTTCCTTTTCACCCCTGTAGCTTATAAACGTGGTAACTAATTAAATGCGAACGGAAATTAGAAAAATTACTACCATTTAAACATCTATGTCCGCCACTATATTTTGTTTTGAAAAATAAACGTATCTGTATCAGAATGGTAACTATATAATCTACTTGCTCTACATCTCAATGAAGCGTCCCATCTCTTCTAGAGAAACTCAAAAGATTCCAGAATAAAATTCTGCGGAAAATAACACAAGCAAGACGGTTTTCTCGAAAAAAATAAAGACATACATCGCTATCTCAACATTGATTTTTTAGAGCATCATATTGCAAAGCTAAATTGCACATTTTTTTTTAAAAAAAGCCATAAATTGTGATACTGCAGGATTTAATTAAATTTTTATTTCTGAAATCTTGAGAGAAGACATAACTCTCAGGTCAACGGCAGCTTATTTTTGCAGCCGCGCACCTTTATCTAAAATAAAAAAAATATTTAGTTTTATTTTCATTTCAATTTGCATTCATCAGAAAGAACCACCTTAAAGTTAAAATCTCAAGACGGATGAGAAAAAGGCTGTAAACGGCCTCAGGCACCCAGGTAAATTTCGACGATATTTGATAACAACTATATAGCCTGTAAACGTTAGCGTAATATCGTAAAAACGAAAATACCTGCAAGTATTAACATAAATTTAATACTGTTAAGACACTCTGGGAAATCTTAACATTGATTTGTCCACAATAGATTCAAACCGATGGCAGAGACGATAACTTACTCTGGATTACAAATAAATATTTTCTACTGTTAGAAAATTTTTTGTTTTAATGTATGATTCCTAGTTTAGTAAATTAAATTTATAGGATTTTTACACACCACTGCATCAAAAGCTTATACAAAACGCCCCTTTGTTACAGTTATAGCGATGCAGTTTGCAAAAGAAAAGTATTTTCTAGTGGTAACGAAATTTAGTTAGTTCAGTTTAGTATTTTTCATTTTAGGTAATTTTTCCTCCACTACATACCAAAAATTCAAAGTATATTATGAAATGCAACTTTATTTCTTTTATCACGCGATTGTTCTTTGAGTAAGAGTACTTATCCTTATTCTACAAGTTTTAGTATTTAATTCGTTACTAATTTATTAAAAGTTGAGCTAAAAGCGGATCAGTTGGCATCCTTGCAGTTATTTAAATAACACTTTTAAAATGTTAACAAAATTAGTCAATAACTCTACTAATTTTGTTTATATTTCTCCATCATTTTTTACAATATTTCTTAGAATCCGGAGCAGCTGGCATCTTCATTGCGTATCCACTCTAGACTCGCTGAGTCATTTGTTTGATTAAACTCATTTTTGGTTAATTAAAGAAAGAAAAATTGAAAGCATTTATCATATGCATTTTCATTCATAATATATTATCTTCCATTATCAAAAGTGATGAATAAAAATTATCTAATAGGACAATTAAAAAGAAAATTAAGACTCCATCCTTATCGAAATCTTGTTTTTTAATTTACTAATTAACTATCAAGTATTTACCCGTAACTACAAATGAAAGTATTAAACAGTTATGTGCTACACAATCACAACAACTTGTTTATTCCATTTGTCTACACAAGCCCCAAGTCGTCCACACTAGCCCCCTCTCGTGGCAATAACAATAACAACTCGTGCAATAATAATAAAGTGTACAGATGAATAGTATCAAGTTTGAGAAATTCTCCTCAGTTTGTTCTCTTTTCCTCTAAATAAAGGAAATTAAAATATTCTTCCTGATTTTATGATAATATTCTTCACGTAAATCCAAAAAGAAAAACAAAATACTTAACTCTCTAAACTTCCTTAAGATTTTAAGATGTGGAAATCAGGGAGGACTTGTTGTCTTTCTTAACTACATTTCTAAATTGAAATATAATTTATAAAATTCTGAATTATATTTCAGAACAATGAAATTAATTTATTTCACTTCCTTCATGCTTTTGAAATTTCGAAGTGAAGAATCAATAATATACAGCCTTTTTTTAATCATCCTCCATATATTTATTGAATTTAATATTCATTTAAGTGATTTTGTAAACAGGAAGAGGAAGACATTGAAGCAATATGATTATAAGAAAAACTTTACTTTTTTATTGATTATCACATATTATTCAAATTATTTAGAGATTATCTATTGTGAGTGAATCTAAAATTTTAAAACTTATACTACAGGAATAATTTTTATTTTCCCGAAAAAATAATTTTATGTTCATTTGGAACTCTGTTTTGTTTTTAACATATGGATAAGTATTGACTTAACGTTGGGCTATGCTACCATAGGTGGGTAGCTAAACTCATTATTGCACACAAAATATTCAAAGCTATTACCATCACAATAAAGCCCTTTTTTTTGTAAATTTGAACCTTGCATACATTTTATCTTAACACTTTCATCGTGGAAATGACGCTCCTTTGTCCCACGCTTACTGTCTGAAATTGAAACAAAACGCAAATTCTCTTAAGAGTTGTTCTGAAAAATAATAATCAATCGCGATCAATAACCATATTCACTAATACAACAACAGAGCACAGCGAATATTCCTGGAATACGAGTTAACAAGTCAGTCGCGATGAAAGAATGAACCTAATTCGGACTACTGATGCGAAAACACAACTATTTTTGTTGTAATGCATTTACACGCTTAGACAAATATAATATTTTCTACTGTTAGCTACCACTTTTCTTTTAAAATATCAGGTTTCTATAATTTAAAATCAAATAAATATATATTTATTGTGAATCGCAATGAAATAAACATATCTTGATTGTATGCCATAGCTGAACATATTATTCTCAGGGAGTTCGCTAATGTAAAGGCTATTATGTTATTATTAAATTGTTATAATTATTAATGTGTACACTGGTGGACAAAATTAAGAGATGGAAAGCATTTTCGCACATGCAAGATACCCGCACACCGCTCCATGTGTTTGACAATGATTCCGTGAATGCCCAGAGGTACAGGCAGGAGGTCCTAGAGCCCTATGTGCGTCTTTTCAGGGGAGCTGTTGGCCCTGAGTTCATTTTTATGGACGACAATGCGCGACCATATAGGGCTCTCATGGTTGATGAGTATCTGGAAAGCGAGAATATTCAACGAATGGATTGGCCAACCAAATCCCCTGACCTGAATCCTATTGAACATGCTTGGGATGCNAACCTGCACAACATGCACGTATGGGCGCATGAAAACCCAAGATGTACACGTGCCCATGCACATCAACAACGTTTCAGCGTAAACGTTTGGGCTGGTATTATCGGTGACATGTTGATTGGCCCTTACCTTCTACCTGAACGCCTCGACGGAAATACCTATCGCATTATTTTAGAAAGAGTTTTGCCGGTTCTGATGGGTGACGTTCCAGCCGCTACACGCCGAAACATCTGGTTTCAGCATGATGGAGCGCCTGCCCACTTTAGCTACGCTGTTCTAGAATACCTCGATAGGATTTATCCTAATCGCTGGATCGGTGGAGGCGGACCAGTCCCATGGCTGCCGCAATCCCCCGACCTGACTCCCCTGGATTTCTACCTGTGGGGACACATGAAGTCCATAGTGTACGAGACACCAGTAACATCGGACATGGATCTTATCGCCAGGATCGCGGAAGCGTCAGCAAGTGTCCGTGACACTCCTGGCCAATTTGAACTGGTTCGTGAATCCATGCGCCGACGCTGTGAAACGTGCATTGTGGCGAATGGCAGGAATTTTGAGCATTTGCTGTGATGTAATGATGTTTTATAATAAAAATCATATTAGCACCGCTATCGAGATCATTTTTTTTCTCCTCATCCAAACCTGCACTTATCGCCCTCTAGCCGTCTCAGTTTTAATTTTCGGACACAAGTTCCTATGTAAATCTTGTTCATCATGATATGACAGACCAGCATGTTAAGTTTGTAAGCGACCTTTTGGGACACCCTGTAGATAAGTTTTGACTTAACGTTGGGCTATGCCATCTTTTTAGATGGGTAGCTAAACTCATTATTACACACAAAATATTCGAAACTATTACCATCACAATAAAGGCATTCTTTTTTTTTTTTTTGTAAATTTGAACCTTGCATACATTTTATCTTAACACTTTCATCGCGGTAATGACGCTCCTTTGTCCCACGCTTACTGTCAGAAATTGAAACAAAAAGCAAATTCCCTTAAAACTTGCTTATTTTACTTTAAAATATAATAATCAATTGCGATCAATAAACATATTTACTAATGCAGCAATAGAGAACAGCAAATATTCTTGGAATACGAGTTAAAACAATCAACCTATTTCGGACTACTGTTGCGAAAACGCAATTATTTTTGTCGTGGTGCATTTACACATAGACAAATATAATATTTTCCACTGTTAGCTACCACTTAACTTTTAAAATATCAGATTTGTGTCATTTCAAATCAAAATGATTATGTTTATAGTGAATGGCAACGAAATAAACATATCTTGATTGTATGTCATAGATGAACATATTATTCTCAGGGAGTTCGCTAATGTAAAGGCTATTATGTTATTATTAAATTGTTATAATTATTAATATGTAGTAGTGGACATAATTATTTATAAANAAATCCCCTGACCTGAATCCTATTGAACATGCTTGGGATGCTCTTGGGAGAGCTATTGCGATGCGCTAACCTCTCTCCAGAACCATTCTGGAGTTAAAAATTGCTCTGGTGGAAGAATGGGAGGGTCTTCCACAAGTCCACCTTAACTCCCTTGTTAACAGCATGCATACTCGTTGTGCATGCTGTCTGTCTGTCAGGGGTGACCATACACCATATCTAGATACAGGGAAATCTTAACATTGATTTGTCCACAATAGATCCAAACCTATGGCAGAGACGATAACTTACTCTGGATTGCAAATAAATATTTTCTACTGCTAGTAAAAATTTTTTTTAATGTATGATTCGTAGTCTAGCAAATTAAATTTAAGGAGTTTTACACACCACTGCATCAAAAGCTTATACAAAACGCCACTTTGTTACAGTTATAGAGATGCAGCCTATACTAAAGGCAACTACCTATACTAGAACCTCATACTAGAGGCAACACACACTGTACAAGCCTCACTTTTATTGTCATCTTTTATCCTTAAGTTCAAACTACATTGGATTTATTGGCAATAGGTCTTGCCAGTGAATGACACTTTCATTTTTGTTTTGCATACTTTATTATCATGGAATAAGCTATATCCATACCAAACTTCATTTATTTATATTCAGTAATTTTTGAGATATTTGGGAAAATGTCTTCTATCTCTTAATTTTGTCCACCAGTGTAGTAGTGGACACAATTATTTGTAAATATTATAAACCATTTCGGGACGGGCGAGTCATAAATGTATTCGCACGGAGTCTGGGTCAGAATAGCAAAAAATAACATGCGGTAACCTAAGTTTGGGCATAGCTAATTTGATAGACTTATTTTTGCTTTCACTTTAAATCTGACACACAAGTTTAATTTAAATTGTTATCTGGTTACCGTTTCAGATTGTCTCGGAAGCTTCTAGGTTGGCTTCTATATGCATAAGTATAAAGGACCCCATTTCTAAAAGCTTTAAGCATGATCTTTCAAATTGTGCTAACAGTTTTACCTTCTTCCATAACAATTTGACTCTAAAAGAAATTTAGAGTAGCGCTTCCAAATTTTTGTCACACCTCTACATTTTTAGTTGTTTAAACGGAGCAAATAAAAACTATTTTATTATTTCTGTTTACTACACTATACACAGGGCAAAAAAAAATTTCATGACTGAATCGGGAGCAATTTTATAAAATTTTATTTAGATCTGAAATCATACGACTGCTATTTTTTAAACAATTTCAGAGGTAATGAAATAAAAGTAACTATCCTCTTTAAGTGGTAAAATGTCCTACCACCTTTTTTTTTTTATAAAAATACAACAGTGTAATTATTTAATCAAATTTTTGATGAGTAAATAATCTTTTATAAAGTACAACACATATTTTTTAACCCGTTGCACTCCGATTACTTTAAAATGCTGAACTAATTGTTATTACTAATGCAACTTGCGAATACCAGCAGGCCTGCACCAAGCGGATTTAAGGCAGATGATGCGTTTCTTGTTTTCGGGAGGCCCCATCTATCCTCAAGAATACGACTTTAGCGACACACACACGTCACAGCCCTCTTATAGGGCGGACCCATTCATACACCCGTTCCTTCACTCACAGATCGTTATTCTGACCTGAACCAGAGAACTATCAATCTCCAATTCAGTACCCCCAAAGGTATGATTTGTCATGGGAAAATGGAGGACCTTGTGATCCGACAGATTTAACGTGCACCAGTCACTGTTTAAAGCGCATGGAGTTTTCAGTAGGAGGGGATCGAACTCACGACCTTTCTGGCATGGTACCAACCAGGCTATACCGATCCCAGTTTGAACAAATAAAGGCACGAAGTTATTTAAAATCAATAATACAGTATTTTTTTTATATAATTTTTATAATTCTCAAAATAATGTGGCTACTAATTATTAATGTATGAATTTCATCAATTTTAGAGGGGTGACTGCTGATGTCGTCTGAGAATGCAAAGGTTTAATGTCTGATTCTCGGTTCAGTAAATTAGATTTAATGAAAATTTTAGTAAATTAAACTAGCGTTGTGTAAGACATGGTTACATAAATAAGCTCTCCATTGCTTAGTTTATTAATCAATATTGAAACTGATTTCTGATTGAACTTAATTTTTCTATCCGGCATTAAATAAAATACAAAGTGAAATCTTGCGTTCACGTTTTTATTATTTAGTAATTTAATTTGTTTGCGTCACTTTGTGAAGAATGACATTTATCTTTTACTCATGAAAGGAACAATAAAAATACTCCTATAATGTACTTTGCTTACATTCCTGTCGGCCTCTTACTTCTCTTTCAAACAAAATGGATTAATGTCGCGCATTAAGACAGCAAACCATTATTCACACCCATCAGACTAACTGCAACTGCACCTGATATGTTACGTCATGAAGTATATTTCTATTGTCTCAAGATACTCTTTAATCTTCAATTGTATACAGTTTAAGTTGTTTTTATTTTCTTATGAGTGCTTTCAGGTCAGTTTCAAATTGCCTTTGTGGGAGTCTCATTCAAACTGATTCATAATCTCTTGTCCTGTGCTTACTTCAGATTTCATTTTAAGACATAATTGTTCTTTTCCGAACAGTGTCATTTTGTTTTTCGTTTTGTAAACAATTATTTGCCCTTTGTCTTGTTTAAAATGATATAGCGAAGAGAGGAAATAAATATATATATCACTTTGAGGTTTTTCATTACAGTGACAGAGTTTTTAATTTAAAAATTCCCTGGAGAATTTTTCTAAAAATGATTGAAATGGGTAGAGTCTGTTTTTTTTCTCCAAATATTTTAATATTTAGGAGATCCTTGAAATAAAACTATATCTATAATTTTGATTGATCCTAAAAGTGTTCTATGGAATTTAAATTAGGACGCTGCGAAGACTAGTTCAGTTTTTGAACACCATTTCGTAAAACCACGGCTACTCAAATCTCAATTTGAGAATCGAGCGGTTATCCTGCTAAAAGAAAAATGGGGTTTCCCGGAAATATTGCCATAGAGTTGGGAGGGCAGTTATGTCCACATATATATAAGAGTTTATGCTTATTAAACTAAGTAAATAAAATACACAGTGCAAAACATGAAACACACCTTAAGATTCAGATGCCAAAGGCAAGTTTCACTTCATTAAGTAGATGTCCGGATACTTTTGAAATCGCAAATTAGAAATAAGAAGAAATGGGTCACTAAAAATAAATTACTATATGTAACTATAAATATTGTGCAAAATTATTTTAATTTTTCAATCAACAGAGTAATAGAGTTTTTATATTGTCATTAATATTAAAATACATACAATGATAGATCGTTCGTTCGTTCGTTCGTTCGTTGTAATGCAACTGAGCGTCTGAGGCCTTACGGCCCTTTTCCCATTCATCCTGAAATTAGACTAAGAAACATACATGACGAAAATAAGTTTGAAGAGCAAAATGGATACAATGATCGATGCAAAATTTTCCAGTTTTTATAGGAAAGTTTTCTTCTATATTTAAAGCAATAGCAAATTTTTTTGCTTTACCATCGCACGCTGGCCAACTTCTTCAACTCTCTTTTGACGGGACATTTTTCTCAACTATGTAAAGTATTGTAAATCGCAAATAAGTCGCATGCATTCCATTTGGTTTTTGAGTTAATAAATTTGAATTATGGTCAGTTTGGGTTTTAGTTTAATAAATTTGAATTACGAGGAGTTTAACCACCACAACTTGTTTAAATATTTATATCGTTGAATATTTATAATTTTCATCTGGATCAATTTAAGAGGAAATGCCGCTTATTTCCTATCCCTAATCCTGTTTGTGTTCTTGCTACCTTATTGACCAACCACAAAATACCAATATTTTACGATGAATCGGAAAAAGTCCCATCTGAGGCCTCAAACTCCCATTTCGAATTTAAGGACTATGACTATTTTGTTCTTTAACCCTTTCGCTCCGACTGTCACAAATACGTGCCAGCATAAAACCGTATCAATCAGGGTAAAAAGATAAAACTGGTAATCAAAGTATTTCTTTAGCAGTTTATTTGTGGGCGGAGTTATAATTGTTTGATTTATTTAATTCACCATTACTTTGTTCAAAATAAAACTATTTAGTTATACTTTGAANGTTAAAAAAGC